TGTTGTTATGTGCCGTCGAGTCGGACCCGACTCATAGCGACCCCTCCTTGGGTTTCCAAGGCAGTATCACTACAGAAGTAGATTGCCCCATCTTCCTTCCCAGGAGTGGCTGATAGGTTTGAACAGCCAGCCTTCTGGTTAGCAGTCAAGTGCCTTAGGCACTATGCTACCAGAGCTCCTATATAAAATGTATTAATAGTATTTGAAGATAGCTAAAAGCTGACCTGCTTTAACCTAACTGATCCATGATTTTTTTCAAAAATATAATAATCTTGATAAAAGCAATATAATTGTAACAAATAGGACCACTGGAAAAAAGGTTAGACTGCAGGGAATGTCTAATTATTTACGGCAGAAAGAGAGTTCTTTACTTTTTTTTTCAATTAGCATCATATGCAGAGATTTTATAAATTAAGACATATATTATAACACTAAGTGTGACAACAACTTATCTTACCTTTGGGCATCACTGCTTCTTTTAAACTTAACTCTAAAATCAAGAATATTATATGATGCAGATTTTTAAATTATAGTTCTTAGCTTATTAATTTTAAAAAATAAAAGTGGAGGTTTATCAACAGTTCTCAGATAGCACTTAACTATTATGTTTCATGGAAACTACTGTTTCCTCCTATATCATAAACTCCTTTCCTTTTGCTGTGTATAGTTCAGTGTGACAGACATTTTTTGTCTGCCCTCTGTCTTTTACTATGGAACCGGTCCTCCATCACTCTACGTAATTCAGGGAGACTACATGCAAAGGTATGTTGTTATTGTTAGTTGCCACCGAGTTGGTTCTGAAACAGAATGAAACACCGAATGATCCTGAACCACCCTCACAATCACTGCTATGTTTGTGCCCACTACTGCAGCAGTTGTGTCAATCCATCTCATTGAAGGCACTCCTCTTTTTCAATAACCCTCTACTAAGCATGAAGCCTTCTCCAGGGACTGGTCCCTCCTGATAATATGGCCAAAGTAAAAGACAAAGTCTCACCACACTTGCTTCTAAGGAGCATTCTGACTGTACTTCTTACAATACAGATTTGTTTATTCTTCTGGCAGTCCATGGTCTATTCAATATTCTTCACCAACAACATAATTCATATGTATCAATTTTTCAGTCTGCTTATTCACTGTCCAGCTTTCATAAGCATATGAGGTGATTTAAAATATCATGGCTTGTTAACATAGTTTACAAAGACAGAATGGTAGTTAAGGTTTTTGTGTCAACTTGGCTAGGCCTGGTTTTGAGTGTCTGGCCAGCTGTGTGTAGTTATTCCCCATGATGAGACTGGTAACCATGCCATGGCAGAATCTACTATGAGCAGATACCTTAGGGATGAGGTCTGCTTCCAGTAGACAAGCAGCAGCTTTGAGAAAGGCCTTGAGCTTCTCGTACATCTAAATGCTGGATTTGACCAAGTCTCCATCTCGGTGGCCTGCCATGTTGTCTGCAGATCTTGAGACTGTTTTGGCTTGAACTAGAGGCCTGTCATGTTGCTTGATAATTTTGAGACTGTGCTATTTTACTTGTCGACTTTGGGTTTGTCAGCCTTAGCAGCCAGGATCTGCCTGAGTTAAGAGACACCTCTGTCTCCAGTGGGTTGGGAGCAAGGGGCAGAGCTGAAGCCTAAGGTCGAGGGGACTTCACCCAGCCCTTAGAGCTCGCACCTTGAATTCAGACTTCTAGCCTCCTAAACTGTGAGAAAACAAACTCTGTTAAAGCCATGCACTTGTGGTAATCCTGTTAGAGTGGCACTAGAGAACCAAAACAGACAATGTTCTACATCCTACTTTGGTGAGTAGCAACTTAGGTCTTAAAAGCTTGTGAGTGGCCATCTTCTAAAGAGGCAAGGAGGCCACATCTTCTGACCTCCTCTAACCTCACGAGAGGAAGACAGAATCACCATCAATAGCCCAAGGCCTATTCCTGTGAGGCTAAACAAGCTGCCTCCCTCCAGTCCTTTCATCAACCCTGACACCAACCATTCCTCCCACTGCACCCACCACCTTTCTGCTGGATTTGATAATTGGCTGCAGTGGCCACACAGAACTCACAGATTATGGGGTTTATTAGGGAAGCACCAGGCTATGATTCAAGTTCAGGAACAACACTCAGTCTCACTCAGGCTGCTGTCTCTCAGACAATAGTCTTTTTCTCAGCAGTATATGTCTCTTGGTGCCTCTCTCCCAGCAATGTGTGTTTCTCAAGAACGTGTTTCTCTCAGAAGCATGTCTTTCGCAGCCAGCAGTCAGAGAGACGTCTTCTGCCTCTAGGAGGCCTCCTTTTGAGCCTGGCAGAGTGGCCAAACTAACCAATCATAACATGAGAATTCTAAGCACCTGAGAGAGAGTGAACTTCCCAGAACACTGCTTTTTGCCACTCTCAACAGAAATACCCCAGATGGATAACTAACAATCCAACCATTTGGACTAGGAGAATGAGGACTACTATAACAGAAATAACACAGGTAGATGGCTTTAACAAACAGAAATGTATTCTCTCACAATTTAGGAGGCTAGAAGTCAGAATTGAGAGTGCCAGCTATAGGGAAAGGCTATCTTTCTGTCAGCTCTGGAGGAAGGTTCTTGTCTCCCTGCTAGATCTACGTGGCATAAAAATTCCCCCAGGTCTAGGAAGGTATCAGAGCTGAGAACCTGGGTCCAAAGGATGAGCTCTGCTCCTGGCTCTTCTTTCTTGTTAGTACTGAGGTCCCTCTTTCCCTGAGGGATTCTCTAGATTTATATAAATGAAAGCTGATGCAGGCCACATCCCAGAAAAACTCCCCTACATGGAATCAGTGCTGTTAACTTGAGTAAGGGTGTTGCAACCTACCCTAATCCCCTTACAACTGATTGGCTGATCACATCAGATTACATCATAAGGATGATTACATCATTACATACCTACTAAACCACTCTGAATCATGTCCCAATAAATCTGACACATACTTTTGGGGGACACAAATAAATTCATGATATTCTACCCTTTGGCCCCACAAACTTCATGTACTTGCCACATGCAAAACACTTTTACACCATCCTATCATCCCACCAGCTACTCCTCGGAAGGAAGGCTGGGCAATCTACTTCCATAGTGATACCACCTCAGAAGCCCAAGGAAGGGTCACTATGAATCAGGGCCAACTCAATGGCACATAACAACACAACATCATTCCTAAAGTCTTAAATCAACTCCAAGTCCAAATCCCATCCTGGGGCAAAATTCCTCTACATCTGTGAATCTAGAATACAAGTTACCTGCTTCCAAAGCACAATGGTAAACAGACACAAGGTAGACATTTCCATTACAAAAGTGAGAAATTGGAGGGAAAGAAGAAATAAGGATACCAAGCAAGTAAAAAATACAGCTGTGGTATGGTAGTGAATTACTAGGTATGGCTCTTTTAGCCAGGCCCTGTGTGACTCCCTCTTGATGACTGCATAGAACTATGCAAATGTGAGATGCTTGTGGCCCACCAAAGGGATTGCATGTTGTTGTTGTTATGTGCTGTCGAGTCGGACCCGACTCATAGCGACCCCTCCTTGGTTTTCCGAGGCGGTATCACTATGGAAGTAGATTCCCCAGTCTTCCTTCTGAGTGGCTGGTGGGTTTGAACCGCCAGCCTTCTGGTTAGCAGTCAAGTGCCTTAGGCACTACACCACCAGAGCTCCTAAGGGATTGCATAGCTTGCTAATAATATAAATAATGTACATGGAGCCCTTAAAAGTGTCAGACTTTGCAAATAAGTTGTGTGAAATCCTGATGTTCAGTTTTGTCATTGCACAAGACTTAAAACAAGCCTTCCTAGAGGCAGAAAAGGGGAGACTCTCACTACCATCATGAAGGAAAAACCAGGAGTGGAGCATGTCCTTGGACCCAAGATCTCTGCTGAGACAACGGCAAAGAGACGGCAGAGAGTTGGTGGTAGCAAAGGCAGCAGGAAGAAACAAGAGACCTGCCCAAGACACAGCTTGCCAGCCCATGAAAAGAGAAAGCTTTGAGCAGGAGACTTGCTAGCAGAGTGGGGTGCACCTATCAGGAGAGCTAAGCGCTTTGTAACACTTGCCTGAGCAGAGCAGAGATCAAGCTAAAGGGCCAAGGACAACAGAGATGTGCCTATGAGCAGAGTCGAGGGGAGGCTGTCCTGACGGAAAAATTGTATCCTGAGCATTCTTGAACTTGAATTGTGACCTGTTACTTCCCTAATAAATCCCATAATAATGAGTATTGTCTGTGAGTCTTGTGTGGCCAATGCAACAAACTCTTGAACCTAACAGAGAAGTACAGTGCACAATGGGAGGAATGGTTAGTGTCAGAATTGGTAAAAAGGTTGGAGGGCAGCAGCCTATCTGACCTCATAGGGATCAACCTTGGGCTGCTGATGTTGATGATGATTCTGTCTCCCCCTCATGAAGTTAGAGGTCATACAAAGCTGCCCCAAGAAATGTTTGTAGCAGAGTAATTTATAGTATCTTTCAACACTTGAAAATAATCTTATTCTCTGAAACCATCCAGGCGATGGCCCTGCCCTCCAGACTCTAGGTGATGGTCATGAGTTCTGGATTCTGGGTGAGGCCACTTGACCTTGCCTTCAGCTCTATTTTCCAGGTCCACTGGGACACCAACTTTGCTCCCTTGGCTTTGGGCATCCTCATTGTTCTAGTCCAAATAAATGGTGACCCTAGCCCCTCGGCCCTTGCAGGCCCAGTTCTTCTGGCCCTTGGGCATGACAACCCCACCCCCTTACCTTTGGGAGATCTGGCTCAATCCCCCAGCATTCCTGAACAGCAGTCCCTTACTCCTTCACCAAGTTGGTAAAGATCTGTCTGTGAAACCTAGGAGACTATGCCCTCATCCTTTGAGACCAAGCAGGCCACAGCTCCATCATTTGAGACCACAGAAGTCTTGGCCCTACCCTTTGAGACAGAGGCAGCTCTGCTTCCCATGCTCTTGTCTCTTCAGCTTATTTCTGGTTTCTTGGCCTCTCACCCCCTTGGGCCTGTCTCCACCCTGCTCAGGCAAGTGTTGCAAAGCTCTTTAGCTTTACCATAAAGTACCCAGAGGCACCCCACTCCACCAGTAAGCCTTAGCCCAAAGGCACTCACTCAGCTCTGCTGCTCCCCAGGTTGGCTTCTTGTCCACTCTGCACCAGTCTCCTGCTTCTGCTGCTACCATTTCTGTGCTGCTGCTTTTCGTTCTCTGCACTGACTCTATGTTACAGCTCTTCTCACTCCCTTCTAAGCCCTCACCAAAATCACCTCTGTGGTCCATAACTTCAACAACAATCTCTTCAAGGCAATCCAGGCTTTGAGTATTAGGCATCTTAAAGCTTTCCCCATCTCTACCTCATACCCAATTCCAAAACTGCTTCTACATTTTAAGTATGTTAGAGCAGCACCCCACTCTTCAGGTACCAAATTCTGTCTTAGTTTTCTAGTGTGCTATAACAGAAATACCAAAAGTAAATGACTTTAACAAATAGAAATTTATTCTCTCATAGTTTAAAAGCTTAGAAGTCTGAATACAGAGTGCTGGCTCTAAGGGATGGCTTTCCCTCTGTTGGCTCTGGAGGAAGGTCCTTGTCTCTTTTCAACGTCTATGGGCCTGGTATCCCTTGAAGATCTGTATATGTCCTGGCATCAATCTTCCCCTGGATCTAGGAGGTTCTCAGCACAGGCAATCTGTCCATTCCCAGCTCTTCTTTCTCGGAAGGAGTCAGTTCTCTCCCAGGGAAACTTCCCTTCCATGGGATCAAGACTATGAGTAAGGGTGTTACATCCCACCATAATCTCCTTACAAGTGATTGGCTGATCATATGAGATCATATCATGGGGGACAATTATATCGTTACATAACTGCCAAACCCCCGAGAATCATGGCCCTACCAAACACATATATTGAGGAGAAGCAATTCAATCCATGACACATGACATTCAAACAGTAAACATACTTTTGTTGTTGTTGTTATGTGCCATCGAGTCAGACCCAATTCATAGCAACCCCTCCTTGGGTTTCTGAGGCAGTATCACTATGGAAGTAGATTGCCCAACCTTCCTTCCGAGGAGTGTCTGGTGGGTTTGAACCACCAGAAGGTTAGCAGTCAAGTGCCTTAGCCACTATGCTCCTAGAGCTCCAAATATACTTTTAGAAAGTAAAATAATAAATAGTATTTATCATAATTACCTTGTTAATAACTGGAATTATTGATAGCTGTGCTTCAAAGGCAAGAAAGAAGTTTGCTACAGTTTGGGCTTGAATACCCTGAAAATACCAAAATACAAGATATCAAGTTACCTTTCTAATCATATGTCACAAAACCATTCAAAATCATTCCCCACATCTTCATCAAAACTGAAGTTTTGTTTCATTTTAATAACAGAATTCAACAAAATACCACCTATCTGCCTTTTCTACTTTTCTTTCCAATTTATCTCTTGGGGGCCAAAATGAAGTTGGCTAACAATAAAGCAATTATCACGGCAAACACAGTAAGCCATACATACTCTACTAAGCTTGATGTAATAGCTTCAAGCAAAGGTCCAGGAGAAACTATGGTACTCATACTTCCATGCATCTCCATTATCCCCTTGACAATTCTTTCAGTACAGGAAACATTTATTTGAGGCTTTCTCTATGCTAGGCACTGTTAGGCACTGGAGACACAAATAGAAAACATGGCCCCTCAAGGACTTCAGGGCCTACTAGAGGACACAGTGGCATGGTACAGTTTATAAAGCTTTCCCAAAGCCCCTATGAGCATAATCCTTTGGTGTTTAGCCAATTTAGACTCATGGAGTCCCACTGTGTTAGAGCAGAATTACTCCATAGGGTTTTCTTGGTTGTAATCTTTACAAAAGCAGATTACCAGGCCTTTCTTCTGTTGCACCACTGGGCAGGTTCAAACTACCTGGTGCCATTTATAAAGCTTTAAAAAAAAAAAAAAGCCACTGCTCAATTCTGACTCATAGTGACCCCCCACTGGGTTTTCCAAGGTTGTAAATCTTCACTAAAGCCCCATCTTTCTTCTATGAGCAGCTGGTGGGTTTGAACCACCAACTTTTGATTAGCAGCTAAATGTCACTACACCACCAGAGCTCCCCCATTGGGTTTCTGAGGTGGTAAATCTTTATGGAAGTAGACAGCCCAATCTTCCTCTGCAGAGTGGCTGATGGGTTTGAACCCCAACCTTCTGGAATGCCTTACGCACACCACCACCAGAGCTCCTTTTTATAAAGACTCTAAAAACTAAAAACCAAATGCACAGTCATCAAGTCGACTGGACTCACAGCGACCCCTCCTTGTGTTTCTAAGGTGGTATTACTACGGAAGCAGATTGCCCAATCTTTCTTCTGAGGAGTGCTGGTGGGGCTGAACCGCCAGTCTTCTGGTTAGCAGTCGATTGCCTTAGGCACTACACCACCACAAACTCTTCATTCAAACCCAAAGATTTTTTTTTTTCCAGCCTCTGCCTTACATACATCATACTTGTTGTTGTTGTTGTTATGTGCCGTCGTCGAGTCGGCCCCCGACTCATAGCGACCCCTCCTTGGGTTTCCGAGGCAGTATCACTACGGAAGTAGGATTGCCCAACCTTCCTTCCGAGGAGTGGCTGGTGGGTGTGAACCGCCAGCCTTCTGGTTAGCAGTCAAGTGCTTTAGCCACTATGCTACCAGAGCTCCTTACATCATACTAGTACTTTACAAAGACTAGTACGATGTATGTAAGGCAGAGACTGGCATTCCCTGCAGGACCAAAGAAGGCTTAACACACTGGGGGAAAAAAAATCTTTGGGTTTCAATGCAGAGTTTTTGAGAAACCGAGCTATGCCAAAAACTTACTGTAACTATTGGTTATCTAGCTCTTACTATAACTATTGGTTATCTAGCTCTTACTGTAACTATTGGTTATCTAGCTCTTACTGTAACTATTGGTTATCTAGCTCTTACTTTAACTACTGGTTACCTAGCTCTTACATTACAGAGTCATCTGCTGAATATATCTTTATGGCTGATATTTAGACCCACTCCCAAATTTAGAAATGCTATTGACATGTTTCTTTAAACCTAAAATTCCCAAACATTAAAGATCATTTGTAAGTTATCCTAAAAATTGATATGGAAACCAAAGATAAAAAACCGTTGAAATCATTTTTTTGGTACGACACACTTATGAATATGGCATACTTCAACAAAAATTGTATCACTGTCATAAACAATTATTCTGATCAGCTTTAAAATTTTCACAGAATCATCACAAATCTCATGAGAATTCACATTTTAAAAGATAGTCATTTCACAGAATGCTTTAGTATAATATAACTTCGAATTAACAAGACCAAAAGCCAAAATTTTGGCTAAGCAATACAATTAATTTTTCCTGGCCACACCTAGAACATGAACATTCTATTTCTAGAACAAAGAAATAACTAGACATATCACATCATATAAAATGAAAACTACTTACCTCATTTGCATCAACCACAAGTAAAACACCCTGGCAAGCAGACAGTGACCTGGATACTTCGTAACTAAAATCAACATGGCCCTGAGAAAAAAACAAAAACAGAAAAAGATACTGAGGTACT